AAACTAATATAAATTAAAACGCGAAATTGTTAACGGATTTTCACCGGCACGCGCCTGTAGATTGAGTAGAATTAACGAAATTTAGCCAATACCTAACTATATTTTTAAATCAGTCTCTCCCCTCCCATAATCCTATCACAATTTCCTATATACACATACCCCTTTCTATGTTGAACAAAAAGTATTCTATTCTTGAATGGTATGTAACCTTATGGAAGTTTCACCGTATATAAAAATTTTAACTATTTATACTATTACTATGTTACTTTTTAAGAAAATGATTTTTTTTAAAAAAACGCCCAATAGATTTATGAAATAATTTAAAAAAATTGTAATTTCAATATACCTTTCTATTCTCGTAAAAAATATTATTAGACACTATAAAACTTTCAAGTTAATTTTTTTTATTTTGGTAAATTTTTGTCGGCATTTTAAGCTTTATAAAAATATCTTTATTTAAAAAAAAAAAAATTACGCATAATAAAATTTATAAATATATAATAAAAAAATTACATTTTTATATTATTATATTATATTATGTTATTAAAAATGTTTATATTTATAAACTTAAATTCGAACCTCCAAAAAGGTGACCATTCGTTATTATATTTTGGTCAGAATTTAGAGGTAGGCAATGAATAGAACATTTCGATAAACACTTGAAATAGGAATTTTGTAGGAAATGGATCTATCTAAAATGGTTCAAGATAAGGATATGGCCATAATTTGAGGTTGATATTTTAAATAATAATAAAAAAAATTATTAGGAGTCTAAAAAAAAATAACAAAAATTTTTATTTTTTGAAAAAAGTCTTTTAAAAGTAAATTTTCACACCTCAAAAAAATGTATAATAATATGTAATAAAATAGTTTTAAAATTTTATTTCTCATAAAGAAACGAAATTACGGCTAAATATAATAAAATATATACTTATTATTTATAATATAATATTTTGCGGTATTTTTTTTTGTTTTGTGACTTTTATACAAAAAAAAATTCTTCTTCATTTTTCAAAGTTTTTTTTAAATAAATGACAAAAATTTATATAGCCTTCTAGATGTTGTCTTTAATCTTGTGCAGTAAACGTTACTTCAAAAAAATAAACGCCTTACTTTTTTTTAGTTACCTTGAAAAAAGGCAACATGTCCCTTCTTATTTTTTAAAAAGGTAACAAACGGCCTTCCCTTTTTTTAAAAAAACAACTACGTTACTTTACAGCACTATCTTAATCCATGTGATTTGAGAATTCACTTAATTGTAACGAAAGAATGCATTACCGCAAAAAGTATTTTACCCTAAGAAAATGTTAAGAATGTCCGCCAATATGTTTGTCCAAAATTTTTCGAATAGAATATTTTACTATCTGTAATATCGAATTCTTACAATAAATTCCATATGATAAGAGGAGACCGGGGGTAGTTAGGGTAATTATGGATAAAGTCAGCAAGAACCCAATAATAACCGTTGTATCTGAATTTAGAAAATACCATGAGATATACCTCGATCCTTTACCTATTTAATTATATACTGACTATTTATCCTAATAGATTTTAGTAAAACAAGCCACAAACCCGAGGCTTGCATTAGCATCGCTTGGAAAAGTCTAATCTGGTTTATTAATATTAAGTGTACTAAGATAAGATAAATTTAATTCCTATATTTTGATGCACAATGCTTTATTGATATATAATATTACAAATTTATAAAAATATTCAGATATAAATGAAAAATTATGTTAATGTGTGAATTATTTAAATTTCAAAATCATTTTTAGTTAATATTTAATATACAAACCCAATATAATGGATACAAAAATATTTTCATTTTGACCTGAAATAATTGATAATGCATATTTACTGATTTCATTCACTATACCAAATGTATTTAGCATTAAAAATCCTATTTTTTTTTAACCGATGCACAATTAAACGATTTCGATTGTATTAAAAACACTACAGGTCTAGTGGATTTTTTTTTAGATCGACATCTTAACTTAAATAGACCAATTATTAAAAATAAATTCTAAATAAAGTGAGCAAGACATTCCCAGCTAAATTTTCAAAAAAAATCTGTAATATACATTAACTACATTATATCAAACATTTAATTTTTCAAAAAATTAATTAACAAAAAAATAATAATAATTCCTTAACGACTAGCGAAATTTAATATACATACTCGAAAATATGTATTTAAAGGTTACGCATATTCACGGAAATTCATTTTCGATTATATATACATTTGCGCAAATTCATACCCTTTGTGATCTTTCGTGTGTTTATCTTTTCTACAAAATTATCTTCGAAGAAATCTTCGCATCTTCCATAAAAAAAAGGCTTCGCTGAATTGTCATATAAACAGATTCTCTTTTACCTTACTCTCTTTTTTCTCACACGGTTTTCCATTGTTCAAGGAAAAGAGTAAGTTAGGAAAATAGTTTTAGATGAGAGAGAGAGAAATGAATCTATTTGTCTTTTATATGTTTATGAATAATTTTCTGACACACATATGCCCCACATAAAAAAAAATTAAAGACGCTATCATAAACAAAAAAAATTATAATGGTTTTTTTAAGAGTGTAAGCAAGCATAAGTGTAAAAGTTTACTACATACCTTTTCCTAGTATTTTTTATAATTTTTTAACACCCATTCTTCTTAAATTACTAGGATTTTGATCTTCGCTAAACTTGATCTTCGCATTTATCTTGAGATATTTTTGAGGCAAATGCTAAATGAATTAAATTGCAACTCTGATCAAAGTTCCTGATTCAAGCGTTTTTCAGAGCACAATAATTGTGTAATTTTTTTTATGCAATATGATACGCTTACATTTATATATAAAGGAAAATTATATTAAGAAGTTAAACTATCTTTTAAAAAAACCTTCTATATTATAATATTATATTCATATTTTTTTTATCATAGATTAAAGATCGAGAGAGATCAGAAGCTTCCGGAATAAATATTTCGAAAGCTTCATAACTATATGTTTTTTTATCAGATCATTTTAAATTATGCTTATCTTAGTAATTATTAATTTTATGATGTTAAAAAATAAAAATGAATTTAATGAACACGCCACAATGATCACGGACTTTAACTATAACTAAAGTTTTTTTTATTATATATTCATAGCTATTTTCTATGGCAGATAAAATAATTTGTTATAATATTGATGACAGAATTCAATCCAAGTCAGTCCTACCTGCTGTTAAGCAGCCCAATTTGGGTCGATTTAAAAAAAATGGCCAAATAAGGATTTTTGCCAAAATAATATTATGTAAGCCTTGAGATTTCTTTAATAGATGGCCAAATTTTCTACCATCTATGAGCGAAATCTCCAGGTTTGCGTAACATATTTTTAGCTGAACTTTTGAATAATCATTTTTATAAATCAAGTCGGGCGGTTTAACAACACTAGTCCTAACGAATCGAATATGGACCCTGACGAATCGAATATGGACCCTGGATTTAAAGAAATTACTTTGGATTGGATGGGAATCGGACCTTGACAAAATCTTCTTTTTTTTTTGTTTTATAGATGGTTAGATTGTTTTAATATATTATTTTCAAAAATAACATATTTATTTATCCTTCACCTTTATCGATTTTTTCCGCTTTCTTTCAAATATCGCACTTTCTCGGATCTATTTCTAAAATAAAATTTCGGGTATTAATTGTAGTTGGATCTTTAGGGGGGAAATTTTTTTTCACGGATTAGTGTCGTAAGTTTCAATGCAGGGCTCTACATGTATGTTTGTTGACTAAGGGGATACCTTCCTAATTTACCTCCATAAAATTTTAATGATGCAAATTGCATCGTACACGCTCCCTGTGTTAGAGGGCCATGGTTATTTCATATAAACTATCTATCATTTCTTTCTAGCCACCATATGTTCAAAAGTTACTGTTTCATTATTTTCTATATTTAATTTTTAAAAGAAATTAGGATTGATTAAACATATAATTAGCTTATCTTAAGATTCATAAGTATTCTCGAAATAGCGTTGGGGGGGGGGTTCGCATTTACTGTGTAGATTTTTTTCATCCATATTATAAAATTTATTCTGTTTATTCTCGTTTTAACTAGCCATTGACATTTAGAATTATTGGTATAGAGATCTGCAAATCACAGGCTGACCCGTACCGGATCTATTTTTGAAAAATAATTTTGGTTCGGGCTGGGTCGGGCTTAATATTTTAAAAAATTTCTGGCCTCAAATTTTTAAATAGGATATCATTACATTTTGTCAAATAAATTGATATAAAATTCTTGGAGGAAAAAGGCGCTAAATATTTTTTATTTGTATAATATTTTTTTTACAATAAAAAAATATTATATTTTTTCTATATTTAAATAAATTCGGGCTAGGGCCGGATTGACAAATAATAGACAAATAAAAAAAATCGTTCGGGATCAGGCTGGGCAGGACAAATTTTTTTAATAAAAATTCGGGCTAGGCCGGGCTTGAAAAATTAGGTCCGATGCAGATAACTAATTGGTATACGTATACAAACTTATAAAAAAATTGAAAGTGTAATAAATCCAAATTACTAACCAGTTTAAAAAATCACATGATGGATTATTTACACATTCATTCGCTTCTCATTACTACGATTTCTTTCGAAACTATTTAAAATAGAACCATTTTTTTAGAATAACCAAATAACCCCAGTTGTATGGATCGATAAAAAAATCTTAATGGGATATATAGCGGAATTTATTTTTAAAAAATTAATGTCTGGCTTGAAAATATGTATACATTTGCATGCCTCTGATATCTTGTAATTTAATGTATATTTCTCTACTTGACCAATATTATAGTTAAATATTAAATGGTTTCGCCGATTTAATTAGCTTATTATACGTATGTCATTAATTCCATAGTTTTTTAGTGGAAATATTAAATTATTTATGCAAGAATCGGTTCACATTATCCAACCAGTTTACAATACAATGCAAATCATTATAATTTTATATTATTATTTGGCTATATACCTTCCCGTTTTGGTGATTATCATTTCCGTGCCCAGAGTGTGAAATTTTTTCCATAAATCCTCCGATTCCAGTTTGCATTTTACTGCCTTCATAAGCGGAGAAGTAGAATCTAGAAGTTCTTGAGTAACTTTGAAGGCCGGAGACAACAAGGGCGATTTAACGTCTCTCCCTTTATCTGCGATACTTTCGTAATTATTGCTCGGAATCTCGTATTCCTTGAGATCATGCGATGATATTTCATTATTTTGGTCGCAGCTTTTCCTATAATTTCCAAGACAATCTTCGCATCGGCATTTAACTCGACTACAATCTTTTTCAATCGTCCGTACATTACTCGTAATGTTACCAAGATCGCTATAATTTTCGGGTTTTATGCTTGTTTTAGATTTATCCCTAAATTCGGGGGAAATATCATTTTTGTTGTATGTCAATATTTTTATTGGGTCTGATTTTTCGTCGGAAAGTGATTTTTCATAGCACCCAAAAGGCGAGACTTTTAAGCTGCGGTTATCTATAAATAACGAATGAGATGTTATTGGATTTTAAAAACTTATAAAACAAAAAGAAATACTAAATTTTGATTAATGATTACCATTTTTCCCTAAAGAGACTCTCAATCCCGGTCGGAGCTGAGCGTAAACATGTAAAAATGAGGCTGGGCCTAAATATTATTTTCCTAACCAGAGTTGAGTCAATTTAAAAAAAATTAGATAATTTAAATTGTATCTTAATCAGTTGCAAAAGCATTATAATATTTTTAAATTTTAAATTACAGCCACAAAATAATGAAATTTTAAAAATTCCGGTTAAATAGATATTGAAAATCTGTGCTGTGATTAAAACTAAACATAACCGGTCAGCCCCGAGCCTAGCCCAAAATTTTTAATTTAAAAAATATAAATTACACGCTTTTTAATGAAAATAATGAAGTAAAAATCATTAACTACTTTATCCTTATCACAGAAAAATTTTAATTATCATTTTATTTGAGAAAACAAAACAAAACAAAACAAAAGAAAATAAAGTATAATTTTATAAGTTATTTTTTATAATTTTCAAGTTTGGGCTGGGCTTCAGCCCGATTCGCAGAGCTCCATACACAACAGATCTTTAATATTAGACCTTTTTAATATGAGTAAATTTTTATCGATTCAAATAAGAATTATATAATTATTTATATTTTTTTATAATTTAAGCGAAAATATTTGGTCTTTTTAGCTGGTGTCATATTAGATAAGTTGTATTTTATATAGTATATTGTATTATATATATACACAAGCAATACAAAATAAACCACAAAATTTATTAGTTTAGTTCATGATATTTTAAAAAATTGTATAAAGTATCCGAAGATTAATGGGATATAATGATTAGATTCATTATTTGTTGGCTTATGAAAGCTGTTTATTAATATTTCGTTTCAACACAATGTATAAAAACATTATTAGGATATAACCTCTAAAACTTTTAAATTAATTTTCTTTTTTAATTTTATTTTATATACTATTTCTATTTTATCCTATCCTTAAAAATATAATAAAGGATCCGTATTTAGACTTATAACAAGTTTCATATGGTATCATTCTAGCCTCTGTGCATTCCATATAATAACTAAGATAATGACTGCCCTGGGCACCCTTAAAATTTTTATCCTACCCCTCATACGCTTGTTGTAAGGCTCGAACTCTGTAGATTAATCTAGTAGATTAAACTGAAAAATATTTTAATTAGGTAGATAATTAAATATATTTTAAAGCTTATTCAAGAATAATAATTTTTTAATTTTGTTATAAAAATAAAATTGTCTGATATTTTATAAGAACGAAACAATGATTGGATATAGAGAAAAAAAAATACAAAAAAAATACATAAATGTTTTCAACAGAACCAATTAACATCTGTTAGGTATTTTATTTTTGAAATTTATTTTTTACAAATACTTTTTTATTTATATTTTTTTGATAATTTAATTTCAAAAATTCAATTTCAATATGAATTGAGATTTTTTTTTAAACCGTAAATATTAATTACAAATTTATATATAAGAATTTAAATGTGACAGATCTTTAGTTTTCCTAAAAAAAGAGCTGGCTTAGAATACTTACATTTAATTTGCACGCCAAAAAAAGTTGATTTATTTAGCGCAAGCAAATGATAGGAGATGGCGGCGTCACTGTAGTGCTGTTAAATTATCTAATTTTGGTGAACTCGAATAAAATTTAGTATAGCTTATAGCCTAAAAAAATTGGGGGGGGGGGGGTAATTTTGATTTGGATAGGGGGTATGATTTGGTATTACCATTGGCTTAGGGAAGGGGGTAGAAATCCCTATTTACAATATCCTTCCAATAACAGGTAACAACTCAAAAACGCAGTCTCTTTAATAGAATTTTTTCTCTATTAATTTCTTTTATAATTATATATACTAATAATGAAGTTTATATTAAATTAAGACAGTTAAAATAAGGTAAAGCTCTGCAAAGTATATATCTTTTAGATCTGACACGATCAAAAAAAAATTTGACCAACCTAGCCAATCCTAATTTTCTCTAAGACTTTTCAAAAAATATGATATTTCACCGAAAGCGGAAACAAGTTAAGCGCTGGAGAAAAATTAAAAGAAAATTGTAATATATTCTTGAAAAAAAAAGAATTTAAAAAAGAAACAAAATTTTTTGAAATTTTGGTGAGGTCCAAGTCCGGTCCGTAATTAAATTTTAAATTAAGGTCCAAATCCGACCGCTCCGAATTCGGATTGAAATTGACCAGCGTAAGACTTTAGATCTAGGATAGACTTATTAATAATAATAAGTTTAGTTTATTAATAAAAGAGTTTGGAGCCAAAGGTTTTCGCTTCTGAATATGTTTTTATTTTTTATAAGAGTGGTTTTAGTAGTAAAGAGATCGGGGCTGTTGAATTGATGGGACATGTCAGACCATTTGATCCCAATTTTTAATTTAAGAAACTAGAATATTAAAATTTTGCCATTGGTGAGGTTTTTATTAGTGTGCATCTGTGTATGAAAAATATTTTATAATATACTTAACTTAAAAATTTAATATAACTTTTGATGTAAAATTTTCGAAAATTATTGTAAGACAAGATTTTAATATTATAATTTAAACATTGTTAATATTCTGCAATTTAATTTTTATCCAAATTTGATATAATTTGTGAAAGATTTGCAAACGTATATGGTGTCTAGATAAGGTCTTAATCATTATTAGTATAGCTAGTGCTAATAGGGCATGCTAAGCCAGAGTACATTAAACCAGGAATGCATCATTATAAAATATAATTTTAAATTATTTTTCTGAATACTTTAATTTTATCTAAGAAAAATACATAGGACAGATTATTTTATTGATCCAAAATGCAGGAATTAAAACTGGACCTGACCAGAAGGGTCAACCCAGTATCAACCGTTACTATTCGCTGTATCTACTAAATCTAATCTGAACCTAAAAAATTTATTGTCTAAATTTGAACCGAATCTCTAAAAAATCTGTGAATCAGTTTGATAACCTTATTTGAAATAGATTTTTTTATTGAGGGGTCTTGAAGGGCCGCCGAATTTATTTCGCCTTGGGCCGCTAAAAGTTAAAGCTCTAAAAATATAATAATATTTTCAATTAGTTTATAAAATAAATATATATAAACTTAAAAATAAAATCTCAACAATTAAAATATTATATATCTGATTGATCTCGTAAAGCACATTATAATTTAAAACTAGGCTCCTATCTGAACAGAGAAGGAAAATAACCATAATTTTATCCCCATCTGTCAGTGACTTTAAAGAAATTCTCATTTGTTGGTTTTCATTTCTAAATCGCGGTGGCCATTTAAGCATTGGATGAAAGAGAGATAACAAATCATCTATATATAAATTCCTTTTTATTTAAATATTACATATGAAAGAACAAAATAATGACATTATTGGCTTCTATCATTTAAGGCTGCTAAAGCTTATAATTTGTTTTGATCTAAGGGTTCTCAAAGGCATATTAGACTCTTTAAATTTAGGTATGCTGTCTTAACTCTTTCCAATGACGCTACTGTTATGAAAGGATCTATCCTAAAAAAAATTCCAATTTCATTTTTTTTATAAACAAATATAAAAAAAATTAAATAATATAAACATAAAAGTTCAAAATAGAAATATATATATAGGTAAATAATTACGAAAATGATCATCAAAATAAATTTTAGTTATAGACTAATATATTTATTTTTTATTATTAATTATCCTAAAAAAGTCACTGAGCTCATAAAATAGAAATATATATTTTATTTAAATTTTGTTTTCTGATGCCTTCTTAATTATACCATTTACTATAAATAATATAATTTATTTAAATTTTTGTTTAAATGCTTGTAAATGATTCGAATAATATAACATTAATAATAATATGATAGTAAACCTTGATGGATTGATCACTCATGGTCCGTAAAGTTTCATGGTCAAGATAGTGAAATAATTAATATATAAATCAATTGTAGCGAGGAGGGCGAAAAGACTTAAAGAGACTAAAAATAAGAAACTGATCACCATAAATAAATGGCCACCTTTAGAGGTTCCACTGTATCTATATGGCTAATAAAATGCAAATTTTTTTTGACGGCAATTTTTTATGTTTATAAATGTTTTAAAAATTTTTTATTTTATTTTTTGCATTTTCGTTAAATTGATGATCACAAATATAATATAACAGTTTAAAAAAATGATATTGAACGTCTTTTTTATTAGCTGATGAAATGTCATTTATTATTTATAAAATATTGTAGAAAACGAGACTTTATATATAAAATATATATTATTATATCATTTTACCTGGTAAAAAATAATTTCATACTTATAAAATATCATTCAAAAATTTGTGAAGAATGGGAGACTGAGGCTACGCAAACAATTTTTTTAACCTTATCTATAAAACTCTTCCGTATCTTTTTATATCAGGAGGGAAACCTGAGATAAGTAATTACTAGGATAACTGTCCCCCCTCTAACTTCTTATCTATTCGATTATTTTGTCTGATAGTTTATCCAATAATATATAATTATCCAATCTATACTAGAGATCCAAGACCGAGCCCATACCCGGCCTGATTCGGGCCGAGCTGGGCCAATGGCCCGGTTGGGCTTATTTAAATATTATATCATTATACATTTAATAAAATAAATTGATATATTTTAAAATTCTTGCAAGAAACAAGTCTCTAATATATTTTTATTTGTATTTTTTTTACAAGCAAAAAATACATAAAATTTATCCTTACAAAAAAAAATCTTAATTTAAATAAATGATTATATAAATGACCATTTAATGATGAATAGTATAATAACTCGGCAAGGCCTGAAATTTATTAAAAAAAGTGTTCTGCCCGGCAGATCCCAAACAATATTTTTATTTATTTACAAAAAGCTGGACCCGAAATAAAAAATAAAAAATTATTTGCCCAACCCCCCCCCCCCCCGACCCAGCCTGTATTTATTTAAATATAATTTAAT